TTCTGTCTCGCTCCAACACGCCATGTGTGTATGTATTTAGTTGCATTGTTTGATTGTGACACGCTTCAGCATTGTGGCTGTGTGTGTGTGTGTGTGTGCGTGCAGCCAAGCAAAATAACATTTGTCTAATGAAAGGCGCCTCACACTCTCCCAGCTCACTCTTTCTGCCTCTGTCTCTGTTCACGCCTGGCTATTTTAAGCATATTATGTATTATTTCATTATTATTATTATTATTGCCAGACGTTTCGTGCCTTGAAGTGCACATCCATCAAAATGTTTGCAGGCCACAAAAACAATTGCATAATAGACTTGATAAAAGTGTCGCATCGTTGGGCATTATATCTCGAATGAAAATGTGTGAAAAGGTGAAGGGAAAGTCTGACTTCCATATTCTGGATTGGGTTGATGGGATGAATCCTTCTAGCCATATTCTCCTGTTCCTCTTCCTATTCATCCTCGTGATCTGTGTCCATCTCGAAGACTACAAAAGCTAAAGACTTGAAATTTTATATATATATTCTCGTATGCCAAAAGCAGAACGCGCTTTTTATTTTCTTTCGATATCTTTTTTCACCTTTAGATAGATTTGTATTTTAAAGCAAAATTTGGGGCATATCAGAGCCAGGTACACTCAACTTGGTATGAAGGTATATTATAGGGCATATGATATACTTCTCTCTGCCGAATATAGGAATATCTTTATTTTTATTAGAGTCTTGGGCTTTGAGTCTTCGAATTTGGTATATACACACTTTTCCATGCCCAAATTGAACTTGGCATGCTACTTAAATATCTACAAAATCTTAAGCTGCGTAATACTATCTCATATAGATATCATAGGCACATGCAAAACATTTGCCCAAACGCTGCAATTTAGAGCTTTACAATTGTTCACACACACCTGCAAAGTCGCAAACCATGCACATGGGCATGCCGAATATAGACCTTCTGGTTCTGATGTCCTTTTCAGCTCGTACTTCAGCAATTTTGCGCCAGCTTTCAAATCAATGTGCTGCAACATGCTTTGATTTGATATATTTCGATTCAATTATTTCAGCGTCCTTTCACAGCAAACTAGTTTGCGGTTAATTGCAACATGGAGCATAATTCCGATGCAGGTGCATTCACAAATGTTGCATGCAACAAAATGATGCCAATTGCATGTTTTGATGCAGCTGCAAACGATTTGTGATTTACTCCTGGCTACTGGCCACAAAAATTGCAATTATAAGTGGGCGGCAAAAAGGGCAGCCAGTGCCAGGGGACACACACACGCATAAACACACACAACAATGTGGTTTCAATTGGGAAGCGCATAAAAGTATGCTACAGAAATTTCGCACGGCTCTGTTAATTGGAAACTGGTTGCGTGTGTGTGTCTCTGTATGTGCGCAAATTTGTAAAACCAATAAACAGAAACACACACACACACACACACACACACACACACACACACACACACACACACACACACACACACACACACACACACACACACACACACACACACACACACACACACACACACACACACACACACACACACACACACACACACACACACACACACACACACACACACACACACACACACACACACACTCACACATTTACATGAAGCGAGATCGAGCTCTGCACAGCTCGCACTGAGCCCAGCAGCCGCATTAGCTGCAGTTGAGCGAGTGTCAAGGTGAGGCCAGTTGCGGCCAGGTGCAACGCAGCCAGGCAGAAAATGGCCAACAACTAGCGACAAGCGGCAACAGCTGGCTAAGCTGCTGCCCTCTTTTTGGGCCCTCATATCTGGCCACTGGCATCTGGCCAAATCACGTAATCAGCGACTTGTTTATGGCGCATGTGCCAACAGGAATGGGCCCAATATTTGCAGCAATATATTCAAGAAAAAACAACAAACAACAGCTGCTTGACAAGCAATTACCCTGTAGCCAAAACTGTATTGCAAGAGATAAATATGCATATTTAGCGCTTATTTATGTTTTCTATGTATATAAAAAAACATAAGCTAAACATTTATATAAATCGATTTCAGAAAAACGATATAAGCTATCGATAAATTAAAAGGATTTGGATTCAGATTTATATTTGCTAATACTTATACAAGATTTTAAACATTAAAGACGCTAGCACGAAATATCTCTGAACTGCTCAAGAACTTAGTTCCTATAGTTCTTACATAAATTTAAGAACATATGTAAAGAATCGATAATAATCGATTTCATTTAAATGACATGAGTTATCGGTAATCGATAAACGATTCAAGCTTCTAGCTCGAATAGCCTTTACAATATGCCTTAAAAATGACAGAAAATCGATATTTATCGATTTTCCAAAAGAGAAAAACCCGTCTCCCCCTATTTAATGCGAGCGACTAGAATGCAGTTAGGATAAAGCTTAGCTCCTTGCCCTGCTCAAGAATATATTTAATTTTTATAGGGTTGCATAAATGGGCAAAAAACCAAGCGACCCGCTTTACAGCCATTTGCAATGGGTACAGGGTATAATTAATTTCAATTAGCGTCAATTTACTGAACGCCCCATTTGAGACACACGGCCATTTGCAATGCCATTTAATATAAATCAAATGAAAATTATTCATAAATCAGTTTTAAAAACAATTTCAATTAAATTTGATTTAACAAATTTGTAAAACAAAAACTGCCTCGATTTCCATGCGTGCTTGTTTTTTTTTGTTGTTGTCTCTGTGGCAAATGCAGGAATTATGGCCAGCAGCCGGGCGGCACTTGAAAAGCACATGCCACGCCCTCCCTCGAGAGGAGCAGGGAATGGCTCACGCCTTTGCGCGTTGAGGTCCTGCGTCCTGCGGGAATCGAGCATTTTATTTGCATTCGTTTGGTTATGTCCTTTGCTGTTGTTGGTTTTTTTTTTCTTTAACATTTGCGCCCTTGTCACCTTGGGGGCGTGGCAGTCCCCAATGCATACAGCCAACTGTTAATGGCCATATGAACAATCTTGGCAATTAAGCGGAGAGTACTTTATGCCATCTAAACTGGCAGTTACGAGAATGACTGTCAACTAGATTGTTAATGAATGGAATCTAGTTAACTGCAATTAACTTTAAAAGGGCAAGAACTTGGAAAAATATATCTAAAAATTGGATATGCGACAAATACAAAGAATACAAAATATATAAACCGAAACATATTTGAACAAGAGGTTCTAGTCGGGAGCTCCCGACTAGGGAATACCCTGAACCCTCTTCTTCCAACCTCAAATGCATATATATATTCTATTTTAGAAGCTATATGTCAAGATTGGTGATTCTAGCTCTTATTATTTACCAAAATTGGTCGAAAAACAGGATATCGATATCGATTTTTATCGATTGCTTGGAAACGGAGTAAGTTATCGATTATCGGAAACAAACTCGATCTGCGCGGGAACTAGGAGCACCTACATCTCTAGCTCTTATAGGTTCTGAGATCCTTGCGTGCATACATACAGACGGACGGACGGCCGACCGGCAGACGGACATGGCTAGATCGACTCGGCTATTGGTGCTGATCAAGAATATATATACTTTATGGGGTCGGAGATGCTTCCTTCTGCCTGTTACATACATTTGGCTATCGCACAAATACAATATACCCTTATACCCATTTTTAATGGGTTCAGGGTATAAAACTTGGATATGCGACAAATACAAAGAATACAAAATATATAAGCCGAAACATATTTGAAAAATGGAAAGGTTACCAAATGAAATAAAGTTCGAGAACATGCTGACTATACGAAAGATCTCTCTCTATTCTTTATCTTCCCCATCTATCACGAGGCTGCGATCCCTAGGCATGGTCTGAGGGTAATGCTTGCGCTTGTTGTACACTCTCTTGAATTCATCAAAATTCTCTAATACGATTTAAATCTATATACATAGAGCAATAAAATGTTTATATTGTAGTGTGGCACACGGAATAGCATTCGAGGCTTAACTTTGTCTATCGCTGCTTTTATGGCTGTCGCTCTTTCAATTAAATTGCAATTTGCGTTGATATAAAAATGCAATTGACGTAATTGCAACTGTGTGTGTGAGTGTGTGTGTGTGTGCGCCTGGGTGGGCGTCTATTGGTTCTATTGGGTGGCACTACAGACATTTTGAAATGCACTCGAATGGCAACTGCACATGAAACGGCAATCAGCATAATTTTAACGATAAATGCAGTTAAAGTTAATTGCATGTAAAAACGTCGGCGTTGACAGCACTCCATAGGTAATTACACACACACAACATCTATCCAGGCAGATATATCTGTATATATCCAACTTCGGGTTGCACAGATAACATTTCTAAATACGCAATTATATTTGTTTAAAGCTTGACGTTGAGTTAAGAACGTGAATTAATTGTTTTGGGCAGAAGTTAACCAGATTTTCTTGTCTTCTGCCTGAATTGGTGTTCGATTCCTAGACCTTGGGATCAGATCAAAATGTACAAACTTAATGTTTTAGGCCTCATGCGAACCGGTTAGTAAGTGGTTCATGCTTATTGCTCGGAGTGTACGGCAAATATTCAGTCGAAATTTAATGTGTTTGTTAGTTTCGAATTATAAACGTGGATTCCCAGCTGTAGAAAGCGATTCCAATGAACCGAACCTTAGTTCGAGGAAATGGTACGAACCGTGAACCGAACATTTTGCGAGCCTTAAATTTGGGGAAACTTTAATATAATAAAGCTCATAAAATGAACCAATTAGCTAAAAGTGTTGAAATAAAACGTTTTAAACCAAAAGCGAACCGGTTCGCAAGTGGTTCAGCATCATAACTCAGAATCTACTTTCTGTATTCAGCTGAAATTTAAACTGTATAAAACTGGAAGAAAGATTAATTAAAACTCTTTTGTCCTAAGCCAATAACTTGTCACGTTCTTGAGAAATGTAAATATTTCTAAAATGATCCAAGTAAATATTTCATATTTTTTTAAATTTTTTTAAGCCGTCACGTTTTACACAAATTCAGTTTGAAAACACTTTTCGGCCTGGACACTCAAAATTGTTGTTGACAAATTTTATAAGTAAACTTTTTTTCTGCAAATTTTAAAATGTTGCGTCTGTTGAAGACCAACGCACTGTTGCGTGCCGAGTGCCGAATTCTTGTTGTGCGAGCTGTACGGGCCGCCTGCTCGGAGTCGGCGGAGCCCGAGAAGTCGCCTGATATCAAACATACTGGGATATTTATCAACAATAAGTGGGAGGATAGCAGTTCGGGGGGCACGTTTTGCACCATAAACCCAACCACCGAGGAGTCGCTGGGCACAATTGAACGGGGCAACGAGGCTGACATCGATTTAGCCGTGGCAGCGGCCCAGAAGGCGTTCGAAATGGGCTCGATCTGGCGTCGCATGGATGCCTCGGACAGGGGTCGTCTGCTCAACCGGCTGGCGGATCTAATCGAACGTGACCAGGTCCATCTGGCCAGCCTGGAGACCGTGAACACGGGCAAGCCCTACGCCGTGACCATCAAAGTGGATCTGCCGCTGACTATCAAGAATCTGCGCTATTTTGCCGGCTGGGCGGACAAGATTCATGGCAAGACGATACCCGCGGATGGTAAATTCTTGTGCTACACACGGCACGAGCCGGTGGGCGTCTGTGGCCAGATCATACCCTGGAACTTTCCGCTGCTGATGCTCGCCTGGAAATTCGGACCTGCCCTGGCCGCGGGCAATACAATTGTACTGAAGCCGGCCGAGCAGACGCCCCTTACGGCTCTGTATGTTGCCGAACTGGTTAAGGAAGCCGGCTTTCCGCCGGGCGTTGTCAACATTGTGCCCGGCTATGGGGATATTGGCGCCTATCTGGCCCGGCATTGCGGTGTCGACAAGATCGCCTTTACGGGCTCCACGGAGGTGGGCCAGGAGATTAAGGTCACGGCGGGTCAAACGAATCTGAAGCGCGTGACCCTCGAGCTGGGCGGCAAGTCGCCGCTCATTGTCCTAAATGATGCAGACATGCGATATGCCGTGGAGATGGCCCACTTTGGACTCTTCTTTAACATGGGCCAGTGCTGCTGTGCCGGCTCACGCACCTTCGTCCAGGACGACATCTACGACGAGTTTGTGGAGCGCAGCGTGGAACGCGCCAAGAAACGCAAGCTGGGTGACCCCTTCGACGAGGACACCGAGCAGGGTCCACAGATTAGCGAGAAACAAATGAACAGGATCCTCCAACTAATCGAAACGGGCAAGGAAGAAGGAGCTGAGCTCCTGACCGGCGGAAAGCGAGCAAATGGTTCAGGCTACTTCGTAGAGCCCACGGTGTTTGCCAACGTCGAGGACAACATGACCATTGCCCGCGAGGAGATCTTCGGACCCGTTCAGCAGATTTTGCGTTTCAAGGAGCTCGACGAGGTTGTCGAGCGTGCCAACGACTCGGTCTACGGCCTGGCCGCCTCCGTGTTCACCAAGGATCTGGACAAGGCCAACTACATTGTGAATGGCCTGCGCGCCGGCACCGTCTGGGTGAACACCTACAATGAGCTGGGCGCCCAGACGCCCTTCGGTGGCTACCGAATGTCCGGACATGGACGCGAAAACAGCGAGTATGCGCTCCGCAACTATACGGAGATCAAGAGCGTTATTGTCAGACTGCGGGAGAAGCGCCCCTCCTCCTGCCCCGGTTCATAGATTAGAGATGTTCGTATTGATTGAGTTATTGCGTATTGAGGCTTTCAGATATTGGACAGATAACGAAATTTCTTGTATACATATCGCACAGTTTTCCACAGATGCGATTTATAATTTATGAATAAAGTTTTACTTGGTCATTATATTTAGCTATAGCTACTCAGGATTCTAGCTAGGATTCTCAGTTTTTATGGCTGCAAACAGAAAAGTCGCTGGTTCAAATCCTTAAGTTTTATAGGGAAAGCTTTGATTGCAAAGCCTGTTTGAATATAAGTCTGTCAGAAAACTCTTAAAAAGGCTGCTTATAGTTCATTTGGAGGTCTATCATTAGACATATTGCCGAGTATTCAAATTCCATTAAAATCTGAGAAACTAATTTGCAAATCTATTTAAAAACACTTAAGACGACAACTCAAGTTTAAACATAGACCATTTAGTTATTAGCAAAGAGTTGTTGCTTAAATGTTGATTAAAGTTTTCCATGCATTTTCACACTTTATGTGCACTTTTCCCCATGGTAATTGTGTTATATAATTTGAAAAGAGCCTGCAAAAGAGGCCAAAAACTTTGTCTGTCTCTTGGGCATTCTCGACTGGGCTCGTAGTATTATTAATTATGAAATGGCTTCACTCTCTCAACTCAGTATATAAGCTATGTATACGAAGAGCAGAAGCTGACAACTTTTTACTTCTTGTGCAAGTTGGCTAAATTTGAATATTTGCAAATTGTATATCCTGTTTATAATGTAATTGAAAGAAAAGTGTGTAATATTTTGCAAGTAACAAACATCTCGGACGCCATAGAGTGTATATATTCTTGAGCAGGACGAAAAGCTGGGTAGATTTCCCTTTCAAGTTGTGAAAACACAATGATGCCAGAGATTAAGATAACTGAAGAATATAAGAATCTCGTTTAATATGTATAAAACAAATTTTAAGCGATATATGTTGACGTTTAATGCCCCCTATTGTGGGGTTTGAACCAGCACCCTCTCGTTTAATGCGCACAAAGCAAATGTGTATGTATTTTGGAAATTACCCTCTTTCCCCTATTTCACTTTGAATATCAATTTTCAGCGATAAATAGCAAAGTTCAATACGATATCAAAGGACGCTTTTGAGGTTTGAGCCAGCACCCTTTCTTTTATATATGTATATAAATAAAGCATAAGTATATGCTTTTCGGTCATGTTCCCTGTTTGGCTATTACCCGATTAATATAGATAAACATTGATAAATATCGATAAACGTCGATAAATATCGATAAATATCGATGGTGTCTACTGCATCTATACACTCTTCCCATATACACTCTTTCTTCTGTTCTATTCTGTTTCCATATTTTGGATATATACAAAATAATATAAACTATAGGAAGTAATAAGCTAATTAAAGGGTATCTGCTAGTTGGACACTCCCAACTCTTGCACTTTTGTTTGTTATCTGTGCTGCAATTTAAGATGCGTATTTTGACTTCAAGAACTTTTCTCATTTGCAGATGTGCGCGTTGTGCCACACGTGGAATAACAAGTTGAAGCTGCCTCGCTGCACGCCACGCCCACAAAGTGCTGCAAAAAGAAGAAGAAGAAGAACACAACAAATTTGTATACAACAAAAGCGAAGAACTTTAGTGATATGGAACTGTGCATAGCAACAAAGTCAAAAGTAGCTCAAAGTTCAATGCATGAAAGCAACTATCACAATAATAATTATAACAGCAACAACAAGAAGAAGAACAGCAGCAGCAGCAGCAGCAGCAGCAAAAGCCACAAAAGATGCCACCAAAATCAAATGAATACTCAATTGAATACTCAACTATACAGCCACAAATGCCACATGCAACACAGAGATCGAGACCACCTGAAAAAGCAACAACAAAACCAACGAACAAATACACACAATAGCAAAAACAACAACAATAAGCACAACAATTGCTATCCACCTTGCCACAAAATTTATCAACTGCTGCCGCTGCTTTTGCTGCTGCCGCTTGCTGTGGCATCTCCGGGCAGCGGCAGCAGCAGCCGGCGCGACGCTCTGCTCGCCTACTACAAGCGCGCCCAGCTGCGCGAGAGCTTGAGCCTTGGCGTTCCTCCGGAGTTCCAGCTGCGCGAGGCGAACGGTTTCGATTTTGAGGAGCTGTCGCCTGTGGGCAGCGTTGTGTCCGCGCTAAGCAATGCCGAGCGTTTGCGCAAGCGCAGTCCCACAACAACAACAACAACAACAACAGCAGCGCAACACACAACATCAGCAGCAGCAGCGGCAACAACAGCGCCCGCAACACCAGCAGCAGCAATAACAGCAACAGCCTCAGCAGCTGGCAGCAAAAAGCCAGAAAAGTGCGAGCCCAAGGTGCTGGAGACTGTGCCCGATGAGCCGGTAAGTGATATCTGTTCTTCTGTTAGCCTTAAGCAAATAAAAGGGACTTATATTAACAGTGAACATTAACAGCAGCCTAATTGCTGTAAGTTAACAGTCTCTTAAGGCTTTGCTCAGTTCCTGCTGGATCTCTCTCTCTCACATTATATATCTTTAAAAAAATACGTCATATTAAAATTCTGGCCGTTAGCCTCAGTCTAATGACAGTCTCTTAACAGTCTGTTAACACTATGCTAAGTTCCTGCTAATTCATTTAATATATCTATAAAATTAACCTCACATTAACATTCTGCCTGTTAACAGCACTCTAATGAAGGTCATCTGTTAACACTATGCTAAGATCCTGCTTATTCTTTTAATATAACTCTAAAATTAGCCTCACATTAACATTCTGTCTATTAACAGCGCTCTAATTAGAATCGCTTTCCAGTCTGTTAACGTTATGCTACGTTCCTGTAGAATCTATTGACATATGTATAAAAATATCACTTGCCGATTTGTTGAATGTTCGTTTTATACCCAGGCAGCCTTATGAATATATAATATACCATATTTTTTTTCGTAGTATAACTTTATTTGGCACAAGTATGAAACAATCAATTAATTATCTGAATTCCGTTTTGTTGTTTCTGTCATCCACTTGGCCTGTGCCCAATTGGGGTTTTGCTGTGAGAAAAATTGCAGCTTGCAATCGACCCAAAGCGGGCAATTAGCATGAATTTTTCAAAAACTGCTAACTTGACAGTTGACAAAATGCTCGACGGTCGGAAATGTCACGGGGCGTGCCGGAAGGCGGGCGCCCTTTTTCGGTGTCTAATCAATAAAATTGCTGAGACGGCAACCCCACCGCCCCGCCCCCTCGCTCCATCCCACGCTCGGCAAGCATAAGTTGAATCAGACTTTCGCATTTTCATGCTGACAAAAATCGTTGTTGTTGTTGTTGTTTTTTTGTGCTTTGCGCATGAATTTCGCAGGAAAAACCCAGGCGCAAACCCGCCCGCAATATTTTCGTGGACGGTCGTAAAAAATATTACGCATACGCCATGCCTGACGTACATACTATCTCTCTAGCCCAAGGCTGAAGTGCGAGACGGCGGGCCATGCTGGCCGGGTTACAGGTATTACATGGGATTTGCAGGCAGCCTGGCATCGCATCGCATCGCATCGCATCGTCTGCTTGACGGCATGTCACGCGTTTTGCTCTCGCAAGTTAATTAAAAGATACTAAAGAAGTCAGAGCCACAGGCTCTGCCGAGCCGCGTATCTGTTGTGCGGTCTATCAACGATATTTTAATTGAATTTGCATGACAATTCCAGCAAGAACTCGTATTTAAAGATAGCGACACACGCCTAACCACAAGCTCATCAGCCAATCAACTAGACAGTTGTAGCTAGATTCGGTAAACCCAAGCCAAAATCATCTTATTCTAGCTGCTTCTTTCCTTAGCCCATCTATAACGAAATTATTCTTACTTAATTTCGGTGCTTATAGTCCGATCTTAATGCTAATCTCAGGACTTCAATATGGTAGACCAAGGTGTATATATACTACAGTGTTAGGCTCTACCATTTATATACTTTTTTTTTGGAGCTTGGTGTGAATTATACAAGAAATGAAATATTTGTAAGCTGCTAATTTGATACAAATACCAAGCTTGGTGCATCTAGTTCTTATAATTCTCGTCTTATGGATCAAAAGCTGTGTTTTTTAAAATCGATATGCCGAAACTGGGTGGAGTTATCGAAATAATAATAGGCTTCCCTGCTGTTCGTTTTCTTTTACTGCTTCTCACTTAATAATACTAGAAAACTTGATGTATTTATATATAACAATATTTACGGATCTAAAACTGGTAGGAGCTATCTATAAAATGATAAGGTCCTTTTGTGCGCTTTTTGATCATTTTTCTCACTTAGCTTATATCGATATCTATCGATATTATAAAACGGGGAGGAGTTATCGCTCACACTTAATACTTATTACCAGACAATTTGACATATATATCGGCATCTATTGATATTTAAAAAGTGGGAGGATTTATCACCAAAGTAATAAGCTACCTCTGCTCGATTTCGAATAATTCTTCTCACCTAATAATACTAGAAATCTTGACATATTACTGATAGATCTATATTTATCGATATTTATCGATACTATGAAATTGATGAAAGTTATCAAAAAAACTAACACTCTTCCCTTCTGTTGGCTTTATAATACTGCTTCTTACGGCATATTACTCGGCAACCTGGCCTTCATATATATTTATATATGAATAGGCATCTTATATGTTGTCTTGTCGTACTTTAGAATTTTCATTCTTTTAAGCACGAACACGAGACGCGCCCAACTCTGATTTTTCTTGGCTGGCGCTTTGTCAGCTATTTTTAGCCAACTGCGCGATTCGTATAAATATTCAATGGGACAGCGTGTAAACAATGTGCCACGTTGCAGCCATTTCACTTCCTGCCTGCCACACCCACCCAAAGTGACACACATCCACATACACACACACACACACACACACACCCACACTCACGCTGAGAGTGAGCGATCGATGTGGCTTGCTGCTGCTGGCTTGACGCAATTGCCAAGCAGCTGAGAGCCATAATTAAAAGATACAATTTCAATTGCTTTGCACAAAATGGCAAGCAAATTTGTAAATTGCCATTAGGACACACTCTGTGTGTGTGCGTGTGCGATTCGCATCTATACACATGAGTGTGCGATACTTAGCCACGTAGTTCCACACTTGGAAAATGTTGTACAATATAATGAATAAAGTGGCCGCACATGGAACAACAGCTGGCAGCCGGCGGGGAAATTGCACAAAAAATAAGAAGATAAAATATACATACAAAATATATATATATACATATATATCACTGCACATAATGCCGTAGATTAAATACTCTTGCTGGGGATTTTGCAGATTTATGAGAGGATTCGGAGTATACAAGGCGCATATAGTAAGCCAAAAAATATGCCAAGTTTCTTTAAGATATGCAAGAACTGAATTTCCGCCAACTTATTCCTATAGCAGCTATAAGATATAGTGCTTCGATCCGACCCGATTTCGATACAGCAAAACAACAAATCCAAGTTGAACTTCATTGCGATTTCTTTACAGGACAGATAGTTAACATAGGCTGTTAAATAGCTAGATATTTAGGCAATGGCTATATTAACCTGGGCTTAATATTGATTCAGGTATATATTATATATGTATGTATCAGGTATATTTCTTATGCGTTACACGCTTTGTGTCCAAATAATAATACCCTCTACAGTAACCTGGCGTGGCCTGGCCCGGGCCTGTACAGGCTGGTTGCCTTTTGTTTTGCTCTGTGGCTCTGGTCAACAGCGGACGCGTTGTCCAATGCCTGTCAAGCGGCATTGTTGCTGCTTGTTCTTATTGTTATTGTTATTGTTATTGTTGCTGTTGCTGCTGTTGCTGCTCCTGTTGGCAGCGGCTGCTTTTGTTCCGCTTCAACAACAGGCGCACAAATTTATATGCCGCTGCCCATTTGTTTGCTTTTGTTTCAATAACAACCACAGCCTGGCCACAGTGAAGCAACAAACTGACTGAGTTAGCACAATGCAACGTCAAAAAATATTTAAGTAATTGCACCCCAATGATTTAGCATATGCGTTGCATTAGGCGACGCACTTTATATAGAAAAACGTTTGCCATAAATTTGAAAATTGCATCTGTATTCTTTTTTGTATATTTAGCTATTTAACATGTTTATGGAACTATGTTAAAACTAGCAGCAAGCACTCGTGAATTTTAATATGCGTTAAAACGAATTTTTTAATAATTAAAATCGGTTAATTTTATTGCATTATTAAGTAATACAATCGAATAACAGCAAACTGCGTATTGTAACAGAACTGTAAACATACGCTGTTAAGATAACAGCTGTTAAGGCCAGTTAAGTAACAAGTTATAATTAAAACAATCGAATAACAGCATACTGCCTATTCTATCAGCACTGTAAACATACGCTGTTAAGATAACAGCTGTTAAGCCCAGCCATGTAACAAGTATTCAAGTGTAACAAAAAGTGTTGCATAAGCTGCAGGCGCAAACCGGAAATGGCCACTAAACATGGCGACATGGCCGGCAGCTGGACGCATTGCATGCTTAAATGCGTTTCTTTTTTAATTTATACTTCGCCACGTGCCCCGTGCAATTTACTGCATTAAAATATGAAGTGTTAGCCGCAATTTGCGTGCTGCTTGAATAAGCAACCGTTTTGCTAAATTGCAATGCGGCGCAGACTTGAAAACACACTCAAGCAGCTCGCTCGCCCGCCAGGCAGCCAGCCAGCCAGATGTTCTGCATAATGAAAGATGTGCTCTGACTAGTGCATACTTCAAAGCTGCCCAGATGAGATTTGTAAGTGTCAACAGCAGCATCAGCAACAGCATAAAAAAACATGACAAAACGCAAAGCAAAGCAGCTGACATATTTTATTCATTAAGCACAAAGCGAATAACACGATGGCAAAACATGCAAATGACAACAACAACAACAACAACAACGACAACCAAATGCCATATGGGCATGTAAATATTTTTATGGTCATAAGTAAGAATTTTGTATAAACATACACAGAGAGAAAAAGAACGAAAAAATGAAGTTAAATGAGAGCAAAAATTAAAAGAGGCCAGAAAAAACATGCTCACGAACTGAACCTAAAGGCAAAGCATTGGTTCGCATCGTGAACAGAACTAGCGCATTAAAGAACTTTTTTTCACAAATAAACCTTTTTTACTAGTTCCAAAATGTTGTAAATATATTTTATGCTGTTATCTTTAAAGCAAAAATGTAGCTAAGCCGAAAACAAATATTAACATGAATACATATTAAAGCACAAAAGCTATGGATAGAGTGTGCTCTTTTTTTTCAGTGTACATAAGCCCATGTTTGTGTGTGTAATTACATACATATATATGCCAAATGCCGGCATATCCGAGTGCGCGACGAGATGTCGAG